AAGAAAGGAAGGAAAGAAAGAAGAAAGGAAGGAAAGAAGGGAGGAAGGAAAGAAGGAAGGGAGGAAGGAAGGAAGGAAGGAAGGAAGGAAGGAAGGAAGGAAGGAAGGAAGGAAAAAGGGAATGAATATGGTTAATTCCTGGCTTCCGATATAGTTTGTTTTCCTTCAGTCTGAGCCTGAAAGGGTGGTGTGGATGGCCAGGGGTGGGTAGTGGTTGATTTTCTCGTCGAGCAACGTAATGCCATCTTGGAGACTGAGAAAGAAGAGCCTGCTGCTTGCGGTAAGTTCCGTGTCTTCCCTTTTGTGCAGCTTTTGGCTTTGCGCTCCTTTTCCTGCTCCCTCTACTTGCACAGTGAGGAGCGCAGACGCCCTCTTCCGAGCCCAGCAGAGGCACTGGGTGGAGGGAACCATCTGCCCAGTGGAGCCCAAGCACAAGATTAGTGTGGTGCCACCACTCCCACATCTTAGGCTCAGAAGTGTGCACCCTGGGGAGATACACAAAGCTCTAGGAAATGGAGCCTCAACACCGGCCGCCCCTACCCAGGGCTCTGATCCACGGAGCCACCCCCGAGTGCGCCTGTGGCTGGCTGCCCACCAGCCTGGAAGAGGATTCAGACTTGTGAGTCTAAGACGGGAAATGATAGGTACTGTGCCAGTCCCCTGGTGTCTGACTCGTCAGAGGCCACCTAGCAGTGTACAAAACCCACCCCACCCCCACCCCACATCCCTCCATTTGGACTTCTTGATTTCTCAGGGTATAGGGGGTTGGCAGTTGTTAGTTCACTGTGAAGGTATTTTTCTTTTGAGATAGAGTCTTACTTTATAACCCAGGCTGGCCTCAAACTTGTGGCAATCCTGACTCAGACTCCTCAGTCACTGGGGTTACAGGTATGAGCCACTGAGCTAGGCTAGTTGTTTTTGCTAATTTTTTTTTCCAGTTGGTTTTGTTGATACAGGCTGCCAACATGCAACCCAGGCTGATGTCAGACTTGCAATCCTCCTGCCTCAGACTCCCAAGGGCTGAGATGACAGGTAGGCACAACAATGCCTGGCTGATTTATCAGTTCTGAAGAGACTATAATATTGACCTATAAATTACCTCATACAATTCTATCTCCTACAAACAGAGGAAAGGAGAGTGTGGATTAACTGTGTCTGGTGAAGCGGAAAGAGGAAGAAACGAGTGGGACAGAAGCAGGCCCTGGGCTGGACAAAGATCACAGGGCTGCCTCTTGGCCAAGGAGCAATGGGAGGGAGGCCCCAAGCCCCTCGTTTCTATCTCAAACAAGCCGCTCTGCTTTGCAAAGTTTAATCGGGCTTCTGAGTGGGGGTCTGTTTACAGCAAAACTTATTACTAGAGCAAGGACTACAGGAGCCTCGATAGTCTCTTCCGATTCCAGACAATGGCTAATCTCACTGTGCCAAAAAACTGGGGAAAGCATCCCACTGGGTGCCTTTTCCTCCCAGAGGCTGAAATGGAGAAAGAGACAAGGCACCTAAGAAAAGCTATTCTCCTAAGGGCTTCAGTCAACTAAGATGCCCCTGTCTAAACTAGAGCTTTCCCATCGGGTGTGGAAGCGCTTGCCTGTAATTCCGGCACTAGCGAGGCTCAGGCAAGAGGAGCGTAGGATCCACACTGGTCTGGGCTACATGAAGAGACTTAGTCCCCAAACAAAACAATATCCCCTTGTGATGGAGCACGATTGTAAACCCAGCACTTGAGAGGCTGAGGCAGGAGGATCAGGAGTTCAAGGCTACGTCCTCGGCTACACGGCAAGTTTGAAACTAGCTTGAGCTCCACGAGAACATGCCTCTAAATATATAAATAAATAAATAGTGCAACACACACACACACACACACACACACACACACACACACACACACACTAGCTTTTCCCTCTAACCTAGATCAAGTGAAAGACAGTATGTAAAGATAGCCTCGGTACAATATAAAAAGATGATAGTGAAAGATAATACTAGAAAACAAAACAAAACAAAACAAAACACTGGAACTGGGACTCCAAGTCATTGATAGGTGCTGGATAGTAAGAGCAAGTAAGCTGAGGCTGGGCCCTGCCAACCATGACCCTTGATTCCCCCACTCTGTGTGGACACGGATAAGACAGATCAGAGGGGTCTACAAAGTCTCAGGCCCCAAATACGGCACTAAAATTGTCTGGGAAGAGTAGGGAGATGGCTCAGATGCAAAGTGTTTGCCACACAGGCAGGAAACCACAGTTCAGATTACGAGAGCCCATGCCAAGAGCAAGTGGGTGCAGCGGTCTACCTGGAGTTCCAGCGTAGGAAGTCAGGGGATCCCTAGAGCAAGCTGGCCAGAGACTACCCATATCAGCAAGCTCTGGGTCTGATTGGGAGCCCCTACCTCACTGAATAGGGTGGAAGAATAATTGAGGATGGTTCCCACATCAACCTCAGGCCTCCATGTGCACATCCACCCACACGTGTTCACACACACACACACACACACACACACACACACACACGGAAAAAGAATACACAATTCTACCTGGGCTGATTTATGAAGCTACTTTCCTACGTCCCACCTTATCTCTGAGATCATTGTGAATGACAACAGGGTGAGGACCTGATTTTGTTTTGCTGGTTCTTGTCTTTGAGCTCTCCGAGTGTTTCGGACATCCAGCTAAGTTTTGGACCCCTAACACTACGCCAGGACCCCTCCGGCTCTAATATTCTTTGATCCTGAGCCACATTTTGGACACAGCCCAACTGCACTTATCAGAATCATCCCCTCCATCTCTACCCAACCTGGCATTGTTAATTACCTTGATATGTTTCTCTTGATATTGCATTTTACCACCCAGAATAAACATCCTTGTAATAATCCTATCAGCTGGGAACTGCTCTGTGCGCATCGACTCATCGCCAGAGAGAGTCACTGTAAACATTGGCGGCTACCTTCCCAGGCCCTTAGCTGAGCATTTACACAAAATACACATACACTTGAGTCAGCTTCTCTGTCTCTTGTTTGGGTTTGGTGTTATATATGCAAAGGAAGAGCCAGCCACCCCTAAAGTCTGGAATCTCTTTTTTTTTTTTTTTTTTTTTACTCAACTCCTGGTTCTCCATCACTGAGGTCCGTCTGTATGAACATACAAATTGCCTCATTCTAACCCTCCAGCTTTCTTCCACGGAATGAATCCAGGCTAGAGAGCTGGCTGAGCTGTGAAAGGCTAGACTTACAACCAATAAAATGGGGCTGCCTTGCTTTAGAGGGTCTTCCCACTGAGGCTGCGTGGACTGCTTCCTTGTGTATCACTCAGCGGACACTTTTCTATCTTGCCTACTTCCCTCTTCCCCTTCGTATGTCCCACCCAGATCCCCTTTTCTCTTTCTTCCTCATTCCAAGAGGCCGACACAACCAAACCGCTCTCAGTCTCTTGAAATCCAAATTGCAATCAATAACCTGAAGCCCTCGCTCCATCCTCTCATCCTTAAACAATATAAAACATATACACACATAAATATGTGCATGTGCATATATGCACCCGTGGGTGGATTAGGCTAGAGTCGAAGGAAGAACTGCATAAAGATTGTGAAAACAGGAGGCACAGTCTGACCCAACCTGTCTCAGAGTCAACAGGATCTTGGGTTGCTCGCTTATTAGCAGGTTGGACTAGGAGTCAATCAGCCCTAACCTTGTGTATGTTGTGATTTTGTCAAGTCCCGCCATCCATATGTAGCCTTTAGAACTCTTTCTAGACACCTAGATGCCACGCAGATGAGCAAGCGGCCCATGACATTTCCTGTTTCTGTCCATCGTGTTAGTGCCTAATTACAGAGTGTCTCGTAATGCTGGCTGGCAGCCTCCTAAGTGCATATACTTATCTTCCCTTAATGGTTAGCAGCAGCTCAAGGCTAGGGACCGCCACATAGACCGCCACATTTCCTCACTTGCTCAACTACCTAATGAAGACTAGAAAAATAATAAGCAAAGCATCCTTCAAGCCAGGGGCCAGCAAAGGCAATCCAGCTGCCATGCCAGCTGTTCTTATAAACAAGCTTCCTAGAATCCAGGCACCAACGTTGGTATCATTCATGGGTGCTTTCATGCTTCTGTGGAAAAGCTGAAAAGCTACACCATGCCCAGAAACCTCCGTAGCCGACTGTTACCATTTGGCCCTTTACAGACAAGGTCTGCCAACTCCCAGGACGGGCATCTAAAGAAATACCAACAATACTGAGACCAGAAGCTCATGGGAACGCCCCAGCATCGCTCTCCCCCTCCCCATGAGCTTCTCAGTGAGCACTGAG